CTCAGTAAGATCCACATCCATAGCTAACATCAGCTGTAGCACATGCTCCAAAAGCTGAGCTGTGTGTTATTAGAATTTAAATAGTATGAGAGGAATCTTTAAAGAAAAAGAAAATAAAGAAAACTCTCCTGTTTACATGCGCTGGAGCTAATTCTGAATCTAGCTTTTGCCAGAGTCCTTTTGTTTGATGACAAACCACTATATACCATCACCTTTTTCTCCAAATGACTGGCAGGTGACCGCTGCAGCCATAAGTCCATGAGAATCATGCTATAGATTCTCTAAATGTCCATCCTGGAAAAGGCCACGGCCTCTCAGTTGCTCATCTGTCACTTGGTTTCTGGCTTCTACTCAACTTCGATTACATCTGTTCCCTGCATGTTAACTTATCTACCAAGTACCTGACAGCATGACTCTAAAATCTAACTTAGTCTGACTGTACAAACTGCTAATGACAACAGAAATTATTCGACGTTGGGGCAGAAAATGGCTCATGATACTGAGGTCACTCGCACTAGATTCTCAGAAAAAGTCTGGACATGAAAACAAAATGCTGATCAGAAGCAAAAGAGTCAATGTGCACTAATGAGGTAAAAAACTACTAACTGAGTAAGCAACTGTCACTTCACACAAGTAGTGAGGTATGGGACAGTTTTAAATAAGGTCATATTTTTCTCATGAAGAGGGATTTCCTCCTGATACACATTTCCAGTTTCAGTTAGTAGCATGTACACATGCATGTCGTGTATATAATAATATGTGTATATATATCTCTGAAAAGCAACAGCTTTCCCTATTTCCAGATCAGAATGAACAGATTAACTTCCACTAAACGAAAGCTGTTTGCTATTTGAAGGTAAACGACAGGAATGTCATAATTAATCTGTGACTACTATTGTTGTTGAAGTCATCATATTAATAATTATCTTAAAATGACACATTTTTAACATGCGGCACACAAATTCTTTCGAAGCACTGACCGTATTCAGAACAACTGACTGAGTTTGGATACACTATTACAGAAAAAGTTCCTGTCTACTCAATAGAAAAAGATCAATGTGCAGCCACCTTTATACCTCCTCTAAGAGTGGAGGTGTGCAGGGAATTTCAGTCTCCTTTGAAAAGCGGAAAGTCAGGGTTTAAATAATATTTGTAGCTTTGTGTGCATTTTTAGCTTGTACAGGAACACCAAGGAAATGTTTAGGGTTTATCTACATTGACATGGATATCATGAAAAAAGTTTTTCCTTTGAATTCTTTTTATAATGCAAACTGCGTTTCAGAAGGAAAAGCTGAGATATTTTAAAAATCAAATCCTCTGAAACTGAAGACTTTTAAAAACACAGTTCTTTGTGAATCCATGTGTACACAACAAAGTTGTGCACAGGTCTGGGGCAGCACATCCTTTCTTTGGCTTTCCCCTCTGTTGCTTTGGAAACTATAACACCATGGTGCTTTTGTACCTTTTTTCTCAGATGTTTTGCTGGGCTTTAATCGTCTTTTTCTCTTTTACTGTGAAGTCATCCTCAACAACTCCAATTTTTCTTCTGTCCACACAATAAAGTGGACATAATATGTGGGATAAGCTATCTTAAAAAGAAATACAAATAAAAAGCTTGAGGCACCAAAAACTTTTGATCTTCAAGACAACTTTTCCCAAGTGTCAGACTTTAATTAGCTTGTTAGATATTTGGCTTGTTTCCACTTACTATTAAGCAATACCCAAGTTTCAAAACAAAAATAAAACACTGTCTCCTCCAACCTTGTCACAGAAACTAGGTCTTTAGGGGTTCTCAAAATTAGTGGACGGAGTACTGGAAAATATTTCAAAAAGCCGTATTTCAAAAATGATCTTTTTCTTTAATGTATCCTTATCTTAAAGAGTAATTAAGAAATCTTGTAAATCAACTTCCCTTTATGAGAGAAGTGCCCACAAAAGACCTTTGAATTGTACTTACTCTCGGTTTGTGGTTAGCTGAGTTAGAAAGTTGACATATTTGCAAATAGAATAAATTAGATAAATTACACATGAATGATAAAGATGAATGAAGAAGATACAATTATTATATTCTTGTCAGCAAAGAACAAAAGTACAAATGGAGGATTAGCATTCCATGATTTAGTTAATCTTCAATGCTAAAACTGAAGTCAATTTTGTTTTAACAAATTGGCATTTAAGAGTGAGCATCAGGCATCCAAATACACTGCGTTCTGGTGAATGCATCTCTTTTTTTTGGAAACTCCCATCTCATATCTGTAAAACCTGAGAGGGGAGCCTTGTCAGACCAGATATTGAAAAATAGAAATAGCTGTCCGTGTGGCCAATATAAAGGAGCTACGCACCCCAGTCAAAAAGGTTAAGAGATGGCATTGTGTCATTGTGTGTGACTGTGCTTTTTATTTTCCAGAGTATATGTTTGCTCCAAAACCTATCCATGTACATTGATCATAACCCTAAGGATTTTTCTTGTAACCCCTTACCTGGACCATGAATCGATGAGAGTGGCGCAAAAAAAGTTAATCATCATGAAAGTACCACAGTGTAAGTACAGAGGAAAAGCTCGTGCATAACAGGATTTGAATCAGTGACTTCTTGCTCGACAGCTGAAGGCTTAATGCCAACCATCAATCTCTCCTTTCCTTCTGGAACTTTCATGCCAATCGATACCGGCACAACTCATGGGAATGAACACTATCACGTTGCAACATGAGCATAATAGTTAACCTTCAATATAACAAACTTCTTATTCACATCAACTTGAAAAAAAGTCGATTGGGGATGGAAACCCAAGGAATATCCCAACGCAGATCTGTTCTTTAGTGACATGGGGAATGCCATTTTTGTTTACACTTATCACAATCCTTATTTATTTGTTTTTATTGCCTTGTCTTTGCGTCTACATGTTGTGTCCCCAAAAGCAGTGCAAAAGTATGTTGTCATCACATTACAAGTGGACGCAATTTCAGAAATAATTTCCTACCTTGCCAAGTATTCCCCTGAACTCCTGTTGCTCTGCTGTGCATCCATACAGTTGATAGTTCCCGGTATCAGCGCCATGGCAGGATTCTCTTGGGCGGCACAGCCCACCGCACGCGCAATCAGCTCCAACGAGTCCTTGACATAGTGATCCAGGGAAGGAGATCCCATGATCCCGTGGGCCAGAAGCCCAAGCGGCAGCCCCTCCGTCCTCAGCTCGGCCACATTCTGGCTGTCACCCAAGATCCAGTGAAAGTCTGGGAGCGACATCCTGGTGGCTAAGGTCCATAACCGGCGCACCTCCCTGATGTCGCACCCAAAAGTCAGCACTCCGGCTCTGGATGAGAATTCTCTGAGGGCCTCCAGTTGCCGCATGACAGCTTGCTGCTGGTCTAATTTGGAGGAGGAGGTGGACACAGGGGACGAAACAGTAGAAAGCGAGCCGGGTGAAGGGACCACATCCCCCCGCGCCGGGACCCCCGCTGAGGGGGGTGATGAAGATGGCGAGGGTATCGTAGCTGTCAGGTTGACCACGGTGCCCAGGCGGAAACGGGTGTTGTTCTTTAAGAGGAGGAGGAAGTCGCCGATATCCCACTCCTGGCAGAGCAGGATGCTGAGGTCCCACCAGCCATTCATCATCAGCAGGTGGTACAGGAGGTTGGAAGATGGAGCCTCCACGGAGCGCATTGCCATTTGCAAGTGAAAGGGATTCTGCATATAGTGAAGGAAGGGCGAAGGAGAAGGTGGAAGGCAAGTGGCCGAGTTTGGAAGATTAAAAGGAAAACCGGGGGATTGGCAAAGGATAAAGTAAACCATGTGGCAACAATTAAAAAGGACAGAAGTGAATGGAGAGGAATTTGAAGACACCATGCATTGTAAAACAAATCAAAGGAAATCAATGAGCATGGGTGATGGAGGTAATGAGCAAACGGTGATGATTTGGGCAGGGGCAACAGCAGGCAGTGGGAGAGGAGGGCCAATAACACAGTTGGGGTTTAAGAGTGTTTTGATAATCATAAACAGAGAAGCCAGACACAATGACAAGAGGGAAGGTTTAAAAGAAGAGATGTAAAAGAGAGACAAAGAGGAAGGTTGAAAAATCCACCACTTAAATTCATTTCAAGCTTTGCAGAAGGGGAAAAGAGCAACACAATAGATTTCAACCTTCATTTTTATGTTCTTAAATAACTATTTAGTCCTATGATAAGATATAAAAACATCTCTACAGGTGGCCACAGTTTTCCTGTAAAAGAGAATGGTGATTTGTGTCATTATAATCTGTTACACACTCAATTAATTTATACCCGTGTTTTATAAGTTTGAGTTTAGCAATTCTTCAACATTTGTTGACACTTTTTGTTCAAAGTTAACATGTTAAATGCAGCTTTTTGAAAGTGTGAAAGTGCCCCAGTAATGGTCATCAAAGAAACATCACCACTGTCAAACAGTGGAGCAGTTTTAAGTTTTTCATCTCTTTATTGATCTTGTAGCTGAGTGAATGGAGAAATGGTCACATTCTCTGAAATTCCTTCTTCCAGTTAACTCGACACTGGTGTTTTCTTACATATATCATTAACTGCTGATTCTAAATTGGATGTAGGTTTGTATTGGCACACTTTAGCTAGGTGAAAGACTAATGACCGGTCTGTGGTGTATGTATTCCATTTCCAAAATAGACTTTCCTATTTATCACTTTTGCCATTTTGATGACACACCAAAACGGCTTTGATGGTTATGGAAAAAAATCTGGTTTGAATTTCACTAAACTCTCTTTTTAATTCTTTGGTGGGATTAAAAATCAAAACAACTTTAGAAGCCAAAAAACTGTCCATTTAAAAAACTCTCAACTTTAACCACACATCCAAACTTTTCCAAAAGGCATTGATGTTACTCTCAACACAGAAAATGAATGTCGTGGAAATTGGAAATATTTTGATCTCGTTAAAAACTCAACTAGTTGTGCTCCTTTTCATAGTGCGATGTTGCCAAGCATACAATTCCAGATTGTGGTGTACTGATGTAATGTCAACTGAAACTTTAAGAAAAAAACACTGAAAAATTGTTTGAAATTGTCTGTCCGACAAAATGTATAACTTACAGACGACTGTCTAAGACTAGCCAAAATGCACCACAAGAAAAGAGCAGATCAAAGCTTTGCTTGTAATGTTTTAGATGGGAGGCATGAAGTTCCTCTGCCTCAGTGAACCTTGGAGCTAAAACACCACATGCAGGTTATCCAGTCAATCAATCCATGAGCCCTTGTTTGCTGGCATGCATACTCTGCAATACACACCAACCACATACACTTAAAGAGCCCTGAGCAACTCAGCCTAATTGACTTTACAACTTTTACACAAGCTTTGCACTAAAAGTCCATTAGATTAATCTATTGGTTAATTTAATTTGGCTCATTAATCTCTCTGCCAAATAGCTGTGCAATAGGACATGATTCATGGGTTTTTTCTTTTTTTTCTATTTATTTATTTTTGCATGTATGGATTGTCACTGTGATAAAAACATTCAAAACAATACCAAAGGTTTCATTTCAGATTTGGAAGAAGAATATTGTAATGCAGTCTGCAGAGCATCTGGGTCTCACCTTCTCTCGTTGCCCAGGAGGACTGAAGGATTTATTCCTCGCCGCAGCACTTCTGCACGGTAATCTCCATAAATCTAAAAACCCTCTCTTTGTTCCTCATGTATGTAAAAAGGAAATGGTTGAAAGTTTGAAAGCTTGCTCTCTCTCTAATATGTGCAGAGATCACCAGCCTTCAGCTCACCGGGTGATCCCTGCTCTGTTGCCACTGTGTGAAGTCATGAAATTGAATAATATTTTAACGACACTATTATTGAATGTACTTTTTTACGATATGATTAATTGCTGAGAAAGCAGAAACACCAATTCAAATTGGAATTGTTTGTCTGTCCTATGGGGGCTCAGAATTGTTACTGTTTTGGGAGTCTGACAATTGATCTTTAAATTCTCATCCTTCAGTCATCATTTTGAACTTTTCACTTCGCTACCAGGGTTATTCTTACTGCAACATCTGGACAGCCTATCATATCTGTGACAGTCTCCCTAGAAGGAGTGCCAATAATCACAAGCTAAGCTCCGAATAGACTAATCACAGTGAAAGACAGAAACACTCTTTTGTCGTCGTATGTGTCCATTATTTCAGTCGAGCTTTTTCCTGGAGAGCCTAATTAAACAGACACATTCGGCTTCAGGCAATGTGATATGACCCATTTCAAAGGCAGAATAGATAACTTTGAAAACTCATGATAACTATACGCTTTGCAGACAAATGAATGAACATGCTGCCTCCTCATGGTTCAAAACAGTTGCCAGGTTGTTGGTTTCATTGGCAATACATTTTTGCAAACAAAAAAACGTCACCCGTACACCTTGGAGTGATTTGAGTGTCTGTCCATTACCAGCATGTCACCCAGGCAGAACTACAAGGGTTTATTGGCAATGGAGTCAATAGGAAGATTTATTATATCTGATATTTCACATTTTTTGACAACTTTAAACCTACTTGCCTGAGTCCAAACTGAATAAGTGTAAAAATACACTGGTTTTGAAGAGTGTTAGATAAGTGTTAGATAACGCTGTTGGTCACCCCTACTTCTCTGAACTATGGATGTCTGACAATAGTCTGCACCAAGTAAGACATTTCTATACCTACTTCACACAATCCCACTTTAAAAGCTTTCTCAAAATATTTTTTTTATCCAGGAAAATATTTGAATAGTTATTTTCAGTTAATAATTAAATAAATGAATATACCCCAATGCTGCACCTTGTGATACATGAACCAAAAAGAGTACTGTAGCTGTTGTTTTTTTTACCATGTTGAAAACAAAACATCTGCTTAAGGAACAGCAGAAACATTCTGGTATTCTTTCTTTAATATCCATTGCAGAGCAACTGGGGTGTGAATAATTATTATGTATGTCACTCTACTTATAACTTTAATGTATTTTTGTCAGATTACGCAAATAAGGTTTTGATATATGCAATTTGTAGATTATCATGTGATTTATATCATCCGCTAGGGAAAAAATATTCTTACAAATCCATTGTTTTTGGTTTGGTTTCACATGTGAGATAAGACTGAGACTGAGCAGACTGAAACTTGTTATCTTGTGTGAATCTCATGCATAATAATGAGACTGTTCATCTGCATGTTTTGCATTTACTTGTTACTTTTCACCGTAACAAGAATTCCTCCAACGTGTCCAATGTAACTGCGTTCATTTGTACTTAGCTCAATGAGATAGCTACATTTCTTTACATATGAACACCACACTGTCAGAGGAGATGATGCATCTCTCTATGATTTCAAAGAGCTGCAGTTCTGTGGGCCAGCCTCAGATAGATATCCACTAAAGTCCTCACATGAGAGACTCCTTCCCATTTCCTTTTCCCACAAGAGTTTTGTAGTTCCTGCTCTTTAATATGCTAAATTCTCAACCCTGCACCGCCATCTAAAAGTCCTCTGCGCTCACTTTACTCTGAAGACAATTTTTTCTTTGCTCCATAAGCTCCACATTCTTGATGCTTACGTAACAAAGTGTGAGCAGAACACATTATCAAAGAACTTCTCTGTGATCCACTGCATCATACAGTTTGTGACAGTGAACTCCATCTAACCTTTACTATCGGCTTTGGTGGAAATGAAGAGGGGTAAAGGTCAATGAAGCGAGGCAACTAAGACTAATGAGATCCTCTCAAGACGCTGGAAAAGTTTGCGCATTTTGAAAACTCTGTTTTGGAGAATTTGCTGTCAGCTTTCATTTGGGATTTACCAGTGAAACTAGACTGGGTCAGAGGGGAGCTCAGCCAATTCTCTAAAAGTCTCACACGAGCACTGCACTCTATATCTGGCTGTCTGTTTTCTAGCCGCTTTTCCAGCATGTTCAATCTTCCGTGTATCCACCTGTCTCCACTCACCTCCACATCAATCAATCTTTTATGACGGTCAGCTATTCTGTTAAGTTTACATAATTTCAGGGAACCAGTTTTAACTCTAAACATCTGCTGACCCCAAACAGAAAAAGGCATCCTTGTGCACAGACCAATAAATTGGACATTTCACAGAAAACACAAAGACAGACTCAAACGAGAACCCCACCATAGCTCAGTAGGTGGTTAATGACCATTCAGTCCAACTAATTGGTTTTGTTGTGTGGTTAGGTTTGGAAAAAAATAACATCTTTCCCTTTAACCCTCCCAAGGATAAAGTTATGCATGGAGCAAAAAAGACATACATTTTATTACCCTGTACTCGCTGAAATGAAATAATTGCCTTGTTCTGGCACACAATTAAAAGGGTTTATGGTGCAAAGTATACCTGAATCATGAGTGTGGGACAGAAGATTTCTTCTTCACCAGACACAAACATAATCATATTAACAGGTGCTTTTCCAACATGGAGACTTGTTTTATCAATTTTCAATCTGGCTCTTATTCATCAGGTAGACTCCACAGCAAATGTCTCATTACTGCTTTTGATGCAAGAGTCAGATTTTCTGCTCATTAAATAACTATATTTTTTCCAGCTCCTACATACTGGCAAATATGATTTTCACTTCAAAACATGTACTAATTGACTATAGCTATCAATGTGTAACAGAAATAGAACTCACAATATTTTACTGTTATTTAGTAAGTAGTTTAAGTACTTCATACTTAAAATTTCAAAGCAACAACTAAGTCTAGGATTCGGTGCAGTATATAGGGCAGGTTTTCATAGCCTGTGGAGCATTATTTTCTCTATTTCAATAAAAATGAGAAAATAATAACACAGACCATATTGAGTTCAGAAATACGATACAAAACAGATTTTTATCAGTCAGGTATGTGTTTTACATTGATTACAATGCATTGTTGAAGAGAAAACCAATGGAACTCTTCAGAATTCAATGTTCACTCACCTTTGAAGGTGGCCAAATGGCAGAAGGTTTATCCAGCCAATAGGGGTTCTGCCTGAGTGGACAGTTGATTTGGATTACGAACAGTTTTGGCTCAAAACTGATAGTGCTGTTTATACATAAGTTATTTAAGAGATCCGTGACACACATTTCAGCTAATGCAACCACATATTGGATGATTTACTGCTGGATTTATAGATAGAGGGCCAATTTATGGGGACAAAATGTACATAGAATCTTAACATTAAGTGATTATGACTATGTGAATCGAGATTATCACACTGATTATCACACTGAGTCTCCATGACTGTGGTTCTGAATTTCTGTTCATATGAAACATCATCTAAGCAAATTATATTTGATATGAACAGAAATACATGGCAGCATGTGCTTTCTTGGAAAATATTTGAGCTGGGCCGTTAAAGATTAGAAAGAAAAGATCTGTTTGTTTCTCTGTGCCGATTTGACGAGAACGTCGTCGGTTTCAGCACCATGGACAGAGCACGCTGAGACTCTTTATCTTTGGTTCCCTTTGAAGCGGTTGACGCAGTCATAACTCCTCACCAATGAAGGTTAACTTGAGTTATTCATTCAAGGGGGGATCAAGATTAGAAGCAGTAGCCTTCTGCACAAAAGAAGAAGCTAATCCTGCGTGAGATTAGATTTCAAATGCATACTCCATAATCAAGAAGGGTGAGGAGGATAAAGACCATTAGCCTCACAAGATATCTTCTCCTCCTCCATCAGCTGCCTACATTTTCTTTTCACTGATTCGTGTCTTTTGCTCTGAATTGAGATTAAGTGTATCATGTCTATGCCTAAGTGTCAGTCATCCAGGACTTTATTGCTGGATTTATCCTGTGAACTTTAACCAAATATAATCTGTTTTCCTTCTCATGGCGCACAGACACAATACGGTCTAATGGACTCTGGAGGGTGGAGTAATCAACAGTTAAGACTTCAGAAGTAGCTAGAAAGGAACTTTTTTTCTTTCTTTTACCTCACTGTTGCGCGGAAACTCCCTCTGCACGACGCTGACTACAGGCACCTGGAGCGCGATTGAAACGAAATCCAACTTGACGAGCTCGTTCCGGTTCCTCGGAAAGGCGATCATGGCGGAGACCCCCTGCACGACCACGGTGTGACACACGCTCTCCAGGAAGGACAGCGGGTCCTCGTCCTCCTGGATGACCGTGGAGGAGTACGAGAACGCGGGCAGCTCGCCCAACGCAGACCCCACGGCCATGACCACCTCCATGGATAGATTGTAAGGTAGCAATCCGGCCCGGTTCAGAGCCTCCACCGCGACCAGGACCGAGTCTCGGGGTGTGAAAACTCGATCCTCCTTCGAGGTGTTCCCCTCCTTTTGTCGCGGCTGGCTTTTACTCCTGTTGCTGCCCCGCTGGCTGTTGTTAGCGGGGACTCTGGTCCTGAGGCTTCCATATCCAGGCACGCCGGCACGTGTTTTCATGCGCTTTTCCAACTCCAGCTGCTGTTCCTCCGCGTCCCAGTCCTCGGGACTCTCCGCGAGCATCAGGCGGGTCTGGACGTGCAGAGCCCCGATCCGAACCGTGTGGCCGATTCTTTTCAGCACCTGGCAGGGCTGCGGGTGCGAGTGTGCGCCGGGCCCGAGGAAGAGCAGCGCGCACAGGAGTAAACACAGCGGTGGCCAGACCCCGGTACCCGGTAGAAGTGCTGGACCATGCATTCCTAAAGACTTCATCGTCCCGGCTCCTCACCAACACCGGATCCCCCTATCCAACCGCGAAAACGTGGAGCGGTGGGGCCGCTCCAATGGTCCCCCTGCTGGCCCCCACAGCCTTTGGCCCCGGTGCGCCGCTCAGACCACCTCCAGCCTCCGCTTCCGCTCCAACTCGCGCTAAAGTTACGCGTTTTATCCACAGACGCAGACAACAGGCTGTCGAGGCGCACGATCAGGCACAAGCCGTGCATAAGCAAAATAATAATAATACCCCCAAAAGTGCCGTTTTTCATCTCAAATTCTTTTCATAAATCAAAAAAACAATTGATGATTAACACATTCGGGAACTCGAACGGGGGAATTTTTTCACATAATCCACAGGCAGAAAAAATCAAACACACAGAGTAGGTAAACCCGGGAGGTAAAGTCGGGGTTAATGCGCATCAGACACATTCCAAAACATTGAAATCCACCTCAGCGAAAAAAAAAGAGAGGAAAAAAACGTGACTGCTGGACGGATTCGACGAAAATCAGCCCCATAATCATCCACAGCGAAAGGGGCCAAGGCAGCAGTTGTCCTTCCCGGTACTCGAGATTGAATTTTTTTTTTTTTTTACCTCCTCTTGTTTAACAAGTAGAGGCTTTGAAGAGCGCACGCGCACCCCGTTTGGCTCGAGCCAACCTCTGTACTGACACTTGCACTGGCGAGACCTCCGGCACGCGCGAGCGGTGTTTTTCTGCACGCTCCAAGGAGATTTAACCCCGTCCTCACTTCACCTACAGCGCGAAGGGGAAGTCAAATAACAGCACAACAAACTATTGGGCCAAAACACTTGTCCTTACATTGTTAGGAGGAATAATCAGAGTACAAAACAGTGTGAATCCTTACGAATAAAATGTATAAAGGAAATAAGGAGATTATCTTAAGAAAGTCAGATATTGCAAAGCCAATATCCTTATTCTGGTTTTATTTTATCTTTGCAAAAAAGTTCATTTTAATTTAAATTCAGATAACAGCATGTTGAAAATCACTGTTGCTGTTTACTGATCAACATCATTGATGAACAAATCACAGGGAGGGGACATTTCCCATCTCAATGTCACAGACACACCCAAAAAAGTTACCAGAGAGATAATTTCAAATTGTAGAGCACCATCATTGGTTTTAATTACTCCTCTTGAATCATTTCATGTCTAAATTGGCCAGGACTGTGCACATTTTAGCTGAACTCATAATTTCAGTAGCCCAACATGCTGAATATTGTCGGATTCTCCTTCAAAAATTTTTTCTAGAAATACTCCGATCTTGACTGCGGGCAGCACAGTAAAGCTCACAATGTCTGTGTCTCTGAAGTCACGATGTTTTTAAGCCGTGCAGAACAGGGTCATTCATTGTCCTGATAAATACCCCCATGGAGGAGACTTGATGGTGACATGTGTCTCTTTACAATTTGAGTATACCCCCCTACATCAGTGACACCCTTATTTAAATCACCCTTGTCATGGGCACCAGTGCTTGTGCACTAGCAGCTTTAAATGGTCAGTTTGATCTGTGGTACTTACAGAATCCAGCATCTATTGTTTTTCATGATAGCTGATTGATTTAGCCTGTCAAGACAGAAGAACACGTACCCCGGTCTTTCTGTCCATCTGAAACAAGCATGTGTCCTGAGAACGTGGGTTGTTAAGGTTTTCCTATTTGTGCACCAGATTACACTGTTTTTTTCTTTCTGAAAATTCTTTTTTTTTCTATTAACACCTCAATACAGTATTTGTTGTGCTTCTGAGGGTGCTATTTTTGTGATAGATTAAAATGTTTCTCACAATTTTCCCTTATGTTTACTTCTATGTGGACTAATTACACTGCACCTAATTTGCATTTATTGTTTAGTTTTTATCAATATTTAAGCCTTCAACAGCAGAACTTTTGGATTGGGTATAAAGAGTGGGTAGAAAATGTAATTTGCTTCTCTGATTATGTGAATGTTGGGCCTAATTTTACATTTACAAATATCTCTTTGCCTATTAGTCACATCTTTTTGGAAAATCAAAACAATTATTCTATTTAAACACATCCCTGTCCCTCCTTAGTTTGCGAGGCATCAATGCGCTTACACACATCAAGTCAAAATCATGGAATCTTTTTATTGACGTTAGCATGGCTGGTAGAAAGTCACAAGTTTCACATAAGGAACTTGATTTGTTAGGGAACATGAGCCAGGCTTGAATTGTTTCACTTATTATTTTCCATGCCAGCTCAGAGGTAGGTCGATGGTGGATCACATTATTTTGTACATTCTACCAAACTAATCACAATCTTGTAATTATGCCTCACAAGTCCTCACTGAGGACTGTCAGATGGCTCCTGTATCTAACAATGGACTCCAGCTTTGGACTTTACACATTGGGATCTCAGACCTTCCTCCTTATTATCTTTACACAATTGTGTGTCATATAGATGCTCACAAATTGATCCCCCCCCCTTTGTAGTACCACTCACTATCTAACTGAGTGATAGCCAAGAACAAGAACTGTAAACCTTCACTGGAAACTTTTGCAACCAGTCCAGACACCATCGCCCTGCACTGCTTAAATCTTAGTAGATTGTGGAGTCTTCCAGAAATGTGTTGTTTGTACATGATGTGCATATTTGTCTGTCATCTGTCTTTTGCCATATGATACAAGATTTACGTGGAGCTTTCCAATAGAACAAAATTGTCAAATACAATATTGAAAATGAACATTGTTATGTTTGTTGATTGTAAACAACTAAAAACCAATTACAGGTCTTAATATTGGGCTACAGTATAGAAACTCTCCAAACTTCTGGAAGATTGTTTTTTTCTGTAATTGTTATACAGCATTTTTAAGATTCATAAATCATAATACTCAAAATGTAATGTTTCAAGTAAACAAGGTTTCTATTCCATTGTTTTATTCACCTGTTGAGGTGTGAAACATTTTACCAAATTGTTACAGTAGGTCAGTTATACAAACAAATGAAATTACCAACCAGGTCTTGAGACTATTAACAGTTCGTTAATAGTGTGATCTTCGTGGATAGCTCATAAGGGCTTTAGAGAGAGTCATATCAGATGAAAATGAAAGGAATAGGGATAGAAAAAAGGGGTTTTGATGTAGAATCATCCGGACTAAGTGTGGCTGTCAAGAAGAGGGAGAAGCAGATGAGTGGCACTGAAGGGAGAGATGGATAAGAAGGAATTGATGAGAAAGAAAAATGGAAACTGAAGAATGGGAAATGAGGAGGGACGGGGGCTGAATTCAGTTCAATTACATTTATTTGAGCAGCTCCAGAGCAGAAAATGTTTAATCTAGCGTTGCTTTACATGGTGCAAGGAGGTCAAGACACTGTATTATAAAGAAAAAGCCCATACGATTCTCATTAAGCAACCATGAGAAGGGTAGTAGAGAGGCGAATAATGTGAAGATAAGAGCCTGGAGAAGATGAAAACAGGTGAGACAATATAAGACTCTGCTTCAAAGCTATTACAGTTGCGGGAGACATTTGTTGAAGACAATTTTCATGTCCAAAGAATAAAGAAAAATGTATTGAGTTTGGGGGTTTATTCATAGTATTAAGAAACATGATTGCAGAGGAAAAAATATATATATTTCAATGGGTTTGTCAAAGGCACAAGAGACGGAATAAAAAATCTAATTCCAGCTCTTGCTGAAAAGAAGGTAGAACATTTTCATATAGAACCATCAACTGTATGAGAGTCATTTGCAAATTCTTGATACACATATTACTCTCCCTGTATATTCTCCTTTGAACACTTTTGATACTCAGGAGGTTTATCTCTGTTAATTTCTGATAATTCTCTAACTTGTTACATTTTTGAATTGCTACATCTTCAATTCAAACAAAAAAATTTCTCAGTTCCCCTCCCAAAAAAGGAGTTAATGAACTGGTGAAATCTGGACACATACAGCCACTCTAATCCAAGGTTACGGCACCTATTAAGGAAACACCCGATCAAGGTAGCCCAAATGGACAAAAAGAGAAAGAGCAGGCAAAATCCTTTCATGCATTCAGACTGACCATAAAGGCAAAAGAACATTCAGAAGATTTATTATTAAGTTATCCCCAAAATAACAAACATGATCCATTTGAAATTAGATAAATCTAGATTAGAAATTAGATTTGTGGAGCCAGGAGAGTCATCCACTGCTGGTTCAAAATGATTATATTCCTATTTAATGTGGGTAAAATTACAACATTTCAAAAGTGTCTTATGTGTATGATAGTTCTTTGTTATAATTTGTTTTTAGTTTTTTTTTTTACATTTTAGCATAGAGCGCCATTGATGAATGAGATTTCTTTACACAGCGGGAATATCTCATATATTTTTAAATTTTTTAGATAAAACACAAACATAAAAAAAGTCATAGATAGTGTTTAGGATGATGAGGCATTTCAAATGACGCCTGTTGAGGCACTGATCAATCTGTTCTAAACTATATGTCTAAGATCTGTCTCTGTCTGTCTAAGTAACTCAGCCCTTTTTTCATGTTCATTGATTGAATATTCAATAGAAATAAAGCTTGAAGCCCAGCAGCATTTACGCATTTTGTTATTTTCTTGTACAGCGCTTTACAAAATTTGATCAGAAATTAAATGAAGGGCACTGTGATAACACCGATGTGCCCACGGTTTGGTTTTCTAAATTCAAATATTTCTTAAAAACGAATAAAGTATGCCAACACAGTGAGGTAAAGTTTAGATTTTTCTTAGGTTGTAGGCTTAGAGAACTTTAGACTTAGTCAGTGTGACTAAGATAAGGGGTACATTAGTGAGTTTTCTGGCATGCACTGGTACACCAACATAACCAAAAACATGGTTTTAGACTACAGGAGACAGTGGGGGGGACCCTTCCCCATGACATAATAACAGGAAGTATCTGGAGAGTCTCCTCCATAAGGTATCTGGGGTTCCACATGGCTGATGACCTCACATGGTCAGACAACACATTAGGAGTGGTTAAAAAGGCACAGAGGATCCATTTCCTAAGATTACTGAAGTAAAAACACCTGGACGCCAAAATGCTTCTGACTTTATACCAATCGATCGGTGAAAGCCTTTTGGTGTGCTGAATTACAGTGTGGATATCATGAACACAGCCCAAAAAATCACCAGCTGCCCCCCTGCCCTCGATGGAGGGCATCGCTTGGTCTCGCTGTCTCTCCAGGGCTAAGAAAATCCTGGCTTGCCACTCACACACTGATCAAAGACCCTTTAACCTTCTGCGTATCTGGCAGGAGGTTTAGGAGTTTAAAAAGTAGGACAAATCCCCTCAAAAACAGATTCTACCCATGGGCTGTAAGACACGGACTACAATGTGAAATATGGCCAATACTGTACATTACTGGTAATCACTGTTGTATGTATTAAAGTTCAAGTTACAATGGTTTTAAGCTCTTATTTTACTATTGCACTGTCTAGTTTATTGTCCAGAAATAAAAGGCTAATGCACAAAATCATTTCATTGTGTAATGCGATGGTTGCACAATGACGATAAGAGACGTTGACTACTTACAGTGCATCAGAAAAAGAAAAAAAAAATCAATTTCACTGAAACATAAAACAAATCTGTAATTAAGTGAGTAAACACTGACATCACTGTACGTTTCAGATGCAGCTCCAATAAAACGGACGCAGCAGAATGGTTGCTCAGCAGCAGTTGTTCAGATCAGCGAATGGAGCTCTTCTCATTGAGCCAGAGTGGAAGAATTTCAGCGTCAATTCAATTAGAGGTAAACATTTTAAAACAGCGAAATGTCGTATGATGGCTTTTGATGCATTTGACTGAATGTTGCATTCATCCAGTTGTTTCCATAAGCGGCGACGCAATCAATAAATGCACCACGGCACCACCATGTCTGACAGATGAGGTGCCATTCTTTGGCTTGCCTTTTTCCCTTCACCTCCCGCTTTCCATCATTTTGATGAAGGGTTATTTTCCCCGTAGAACTTTTCCTCAAAGCTCTTTTTAAATTTTCCTTTGCAAACTCGTCATGGCCATCGCACAAAAGGTTGCATTGTGTTACATAAAAATACGTTGTTCAAGTTTTTTTTTTTTAAATCTCTTTTTTCTCAACTCTCCTTTGCAGTCTTGGATGGTGTACATTAATACATTTTTTGCCATTCAAATGATCTGGCACCCCTTCACAAGACTCCGGCTGCCATCTTCAATGGAATCATGGTCAACATTTTATTGTGTAGTAGCCAACTGTCCTCATAAGTTTGAATCATTTCTATGTCCGAAAATATGAAACTGAAAACGAACATGTAGTTTAAACCTATTAGGTTATTAGATTTTTAGATTCTTTATTAGGTTTTAATAGATTGAAACACATAGTTCATAAGTCCATGACTATCTTTTCTTTCCCACACTTAGAAATACTCAATAAAACTTTCAATAAAAAGTTTAGACGAAGCATCACCATACCACCCTATTCTAGGCCACTGCCACAGATAATTTAGCAATTTAAGCTATTGTTCTATCCTCTCAACATATCTTACAAATTTAAAGCAGAACTCATTCAAATTTGATTGATTCTTGATCTATCATACCTCACGAGAGAATGATTACCCCTATCTTGTCTAGGCCTATAGCAATTAACCCATTAACAGATAGGGGATGCAGTCACCTGTCAGACTCCAATCACCACCAAAATGGGAAAAAAGAAGAGGTGCTTCCACTGGTCGTGACACAAGTTGTGTCCATTTTGCAAGAGAGGAGCTGGACCAAAATTAGAATAAGGTGACATAGAAGTCATGTAGACCTGTCCAAACATGACCGAACCCTGTCAGATTTGAAAACGGCATGCTGCGTGTCAGACGGCAGTCATACAGAGATGGAAGAATTATATGATTCTAACAGAGAGAACATGGGAAAAAAATACGGCTATAGCATCAAACTGAAGGAACAGCATACCACTTATTTTAAGCACACACAGTGAAGATTTTACAAGTCTGTGATCTTAAAAAAAAGAGATCGCAATGTCAGTCTTTTGCAAATGGGATAAAAAGACATTTCCACCTAGTTTTTTTTTTTACATCCCATTCCTGAATACAAAATAGAAGAGAAGGGAATTATAAACATGATTATTCACCAATCAGCAAGTTGAAGTTCAAAGCAGTGCTCCACTGAGGTCATGGTTACCAGTCACTTAAAAGCACCTCACTTTAGGCATTCAAACAGCAATGATTTCAGACATATTTTCCCTTATTCATTTATCAGTGTGAAACTGGTCTTTACAACCAAACCTCTGTATCATCTGGCAGACATGGTGTGGCTGCCTGCTCCCCTTTGGACCATTGCCCCAGATTTTGAAACCCAGAGTCAATGGAGGAGAACGATGCTGCTGTTTCCTGTTGGCCGCCCCAAGGACAGCATGCAGACACACAGCAGAGGGGTCAGCGAGGGCTGAATCATTTATCCATGAACACAATTGGAAGTTGTAGCACTCAGTGAAATGCAGAGTTAAATGTTTTGCAAATGACTTGACACCCGACAAATTAGTAAAGAAACTTTTGGACTAAATGTTGGAACAGATAAAGTGTTTTGGTTCATTTATACACATTTTAAATGGATGACATGAAAATATTGCCAAAATATTGTTTTCTCCAAATCATCATTTTGGAGCTCTGTCTATTTTTTAATAGAAAAAAAACTAAATAGAACAGTAATACTTTGTGCAATGCTTTTTAATTTTGAAACTGGTATCAATGATAGTATGCCTTAAATAATGCAATCCTTCTTCAAATAATTCGCAAATTGAAGGATATTGTACAACCAGCACTATAATTTAAGACAGTATCCCAAAACATTGGCATCTCCAGTTGAAGGCAGATGTTTGGAGTAAAGATATTTTAGGAAGTGGTTTGAATGTACTATGAAAACCTTCATTTCCTCTCTGGCTTGTACTGAGTCAGATTTGGGTGAGAGGAAAATGCCTTCACCCATTTACTGTACAAATCAGGGAGAGAAGTCACAGAAGATCTATTAAAGATGTTCTTTGTCTGCTTTTCACACTTTGTAATTAATCTAATCACTGCATGCATTTATGTTCCACTTCTCATTGTCTCCCTCGTTGTCTCACAGGCACAAACCCCACCCCAAATCCACTTTCCACCCAGAGGAGTCGGAAATACTCACCGGGTACAGTTAGATGTCTCCCTTCTAAAGCTCCCATGTGATCCGCTCAAGACTCTATCTCACCTTCCATGGAGAGTAAGTCTGCACCAAAACATGACTATTTTTTCCAGCCTTTCTTGAACTGCACTCTATCGAATACCTTTTTTCTTTTTTACATACTCAGTATACTTTAAACATTGTTGTAACATCAGCTACAAAACATGTTGCACAGATGTGACTGCAGGAACATCTTAATGGGTCATGGTGTTTTTTTTCCTTCTTTTTCTTTGTCTCTTAGATATCCTTCTGTCACATTAATGCTGACATTTCACACCATGAGCATTTTTCTTTACTTGATTCAGTAAACACCCAAAGTCTCATGATGTGAGATCCATACTGCGTCAGGTAATTGCTTTTGCAAACATCAGCAAAGCTGAATCAATACCCCTCAGTCATCTCACTGAGATTCAGAATACATCATCTCATGACTCCATCAGATGACTTTAGCAGAGACAAGCTAATATTCAGAAAAATGAAAGTCATCTCCACGGTATTATATCCAGACTAATGTGAAGTTGATGCTAATTGTTATCTAGTCATTGCTCGTGTCCTTCCATTGGAGAGACATAACGACAGATATTTGAAGAGAAAATACTACATTTGGAAAAAGTAGCTTTGTATATTCAATTCAGATGTTGTTTTTTAATTTCAAGGAAATTAAACCAACGTCCTTTACAAAATGAATGTTCAACTATACAAATGCCTGTAAAACAAAGTCAACAAAAAAAACCCGCATTAAGTTACATAGTCTTTGAAATTCAGTGATCATGATTTATTCCCTATTAAAAACTATCAAATAAAGAATACATAGTATTTACTTGATAAACAAAGTGATGAGAGGAATTGGTTTTGTGTCTTTCAGCTTCCTGTTGTATAACAGAGAGCAACACACAATTTTTCACAGAAAATCATGCTGGGCAAAACGTTCCATTTTACATGCCTACATTACTCCAGATGAAAAGCTACTTGATGTAGCATAAAGTCAAGTCATATTTATTCGACGGATAAAAGTTTTTTCATGTAAACGACAAATTTTCCCTGCACACCAGAGTCAGCCATGGAGTTCTGCAGAAATTAAGTGAATATCGAATGTGTGAAACTTTTTAGGATTATGTTTGTGGTTGCACGCTTTAGGGGGTGGAGTGAGCCATTTGAAGACCTGCGGTCAAAAAGGTGAATAGTTTGACCCTAAAATCTTTCACCGTCAAGCAAACTATGCAAATAAACTCAGTAACCAGTGAAACATGTTACATTTCAAAATGTGCCAACTGTTCATGTGTGTTGTAGTTGCACAATGTAGAATAATTCAGTATAAAGTTTTCAGGGCTATTCGCCCACTTGGAGAGCCTAAATTTGGATCAATAATGCAGAATGCATTTAATACATCTAATGCAGTGATGGGCGGTTTATGATCTCTGCCTTAACAGGCCTCATTAATCCATTTACATCTGCTGTAGTAACTCAATTTTTAGAATTTGAAATAAGACAGCCTCATCAAAACAACAAAACTTCGCTTTAGACAAAGCACCTATGCTTTGAGTTCATTTCTGAAAACCATTCTCTTTGTAGCGTGGCACTCTCTTCCAAAATCCTGATAAATGCTCACACCCTTTTGACACTTATAATGTTCTTCAAAGAGTCTAATGATCAGCCGTTACTCAGAGGCAAAGGTAATTTCTTTTACTAGTTGACAGTACCGCATTGCCTTTCTACTCTTCAACCCCAGATAACTCGTCTCCTTCTTATCAGCCGAGTTCTGATTGTTGACGTTTCCGGATTGTGTCATTTCTACATTTTCTACTAATTTCCCGCCGCATGTCTATTCTCATTCTCCTATCCGTACATAATGCCCAATAGAGGGCTCCATACTCATCAGTTTGTTGTTTAATAATCATATATCACTCAGGGTTTTCATTTTAACAAAAGAGATTACGTAAAATAGCTAATGGTTCTTTATATCTCAGAATGCACAACATTATATTCTTTTTGAAAATGATTGATAAGTTGTGTCTGACATTGATATTTGGCGCCGTATTTGTGAGTGAGTACCGTATGCTAGTTGCATGCAGCAGCTATCTGTGGCCACTGGTTTGTGACTGAAAGTGAAGAGTGGTAAGCATGTTGTAGGTAAGCAGGTCAGACTGTGGCACTGTTCACTTTGCACAGCCATAAACATCCGCCCGTCTCCCTGTGAAATCAGCTTGAAATCCTCTAATACTGTGGGTCCCCCTTACATCAGAGAGCCACTGGAGTCAGCATTTAGCTCATTCTTGACTTTCTTTTCTTGATTTCCTGTTCTGTAAAGCTATGGGATTTCTGACTCGGCTGGGGGGGGGGGGGCTCCCTGACAGGGGCGGGCACTACAAGCCTGAAATAATCTTCTACTGTGTGACTGCTGCCCTTTTTCCGACTTTTCGCTCTGACTGTCATCTCTGGAATGCATATGTAGGACCATATGTTCTCTTCTCATGGCATCATTTGCACTGTACTCCTCCTCTGATGTATGGTTTATTCCCATTTCTGTATACCTTTGCATACATACATTCATCCATACTTCCATAATGCAGCCCCAGTAAAAGCAGACAACCTTTCCACTCATTGATTGCCATAATATTTTCATTTCTGAGGCAATCAACAGACACTTAATGAGGCGACAATTAACCACTTGCTTGTGTCTGAGGGTGTGCTGGAATAAGCTGAATTTAAATCGTATATTCATGTGTCCTCAAGTGCATTTGTGGCTCTGTTGCATAAATCCCTGCAGAATTTTTGTTTGGGACGGAGGAAAATGTGGGCTCTGTCATTTTGATATCTATGACATTATGTTTATCCATCACCTAAACTGCTTCAATTAAAGTGACACTGGCAGAGCAATCCATTACAGTTCCCATATCCTGTTATTTACTGTTAAAAGATTTGTGCTAATTTCACGGAAAATCAAAATCACAATTGCGATGAAAGATGCAATCCGTGATAAATCCTACATAGTTTTAATCTCATTGCTCAGTGTGCCGGAGAGATGATTTGTGTTTTATTTTATTGCGTACCCAATACAAATTTCAGCTTTATAGGTGGATGATAAGCAGCACTAAATGATCATTCAATTCTATTAATTTGCCGTTTCTCAGCTGAGCCAGTGTTGTATAAATATGTCTTATGTCATCTGCAAATCACAACACATCGTCGTGGAGACTGTCTCTTCTTTTCGTGACTGTTTTTTGTTTCTCTCTCTTCTCCTGCTCTGGTGTCCCTGCCATAAACCATCAGCGACGTATTTGCTTTGAAAGGCTGTTTATCTGTCACATAAAAGACAACCCTCTGTGAGCTCAGACAGTAATGAAAAACTGTTGATATGCTCGCAGCTCTTCTTAACTCTGCAGGGAGATGGATTTTGCTCTCAATTCTGAAATGAACGAGCCGTGGTCACCTCCCAACGCAGCAGAAATGAGTTTTGGTTTTAATTCCAGAAAAATAGCAATTATCTGACAGCATCAGCTCATTGTTCAATACAATTTGCTGCCAGATATGACTTCTTTCTTTGTTCTTTCTTTCTACTCTAACTTACAACCATAAGAGTGCTAAATTATTACAATCATCCCATCTCAGAATCAATGTATTCAGTACAGCAATCAAAGCAGAAGTGGGTTGTTGATCAGGTCCTTAAAGACTGGATTCAGTTATCAGTTTTGTGCTTATTATCTCATTTTTGCTTTGGACTTCGTTAAAAGAAGAACCTTCTACCACCCTAATTATAACATGCTTATCTTATGATAAGTTGCAATTTTGTTCTGTTCCTTCTAAAATGACGTAAAATAACAAATAACACTGGTTTCAGATGTACTCAGATTTATTCTCAGCAGCAGTTTAGCGGCATCAACTTTTTCCCATTTTCACATTTTAGCCCGTCTAAAAGAAATGTTTCTTGAAAAGAGTGGAAAAAGTTATTGTGACCCACGCTGCCTGTTCTGTCGTCACTGAGTCGACTTTACGGGTCGACTGACTCTAAAAGGCTTTTTTCACATTTCTCCACAGGGAGAGGAGAGTCTCGCAGCAGTCACCTAAAATCTGAGTCAATGGTGTGAAACTGTCAACGGGTTCACGTCAAGGAGTAGGCCAATTTTTCTTTCAACAGGCATCTTGCAGGACCTTGTGTGAAACTTTAAGCCTAAATTCGACATATACAAATCCTTTTCAATCTTAAACAGGTAATAATGCTACTTTTGCCCATTTTTTCTCCAGTCCTGGCGTACACATGGATTCATACCTGACCTAGTCGGGTATGAATTAGGTTCCCTATTCTAGTAATTTTTTACTGGTATGGGGATCCTAATCATGAAGTTACGATAATGTTTTTCTAACAGTGTATGAGACAGACTGTATGCTGTAAATGTAACGGAAACATTTCCGTCACAGTAGCACTAGATTCTGTATAGTAGATTGTAGATTTTCATTCAGGATGGAACTAAAGTTTTTATCTTTAGATCAACAGATCAAGGAGTTTTGTCTCATTTATTAATGAAACCACATTTACACACAAAGTTGTCAATACTTTGGCACCTGTTCTATTATATCTTGCCTGTCTTTATGTCTCATTTGAGTTTGCTTTGGTGTTCAGCTCAGTATATGAATGAATATGTAATACAGGGTATACAAAGTGTCACAACCACCCCTAAAATAAAACAACTTGAGAGCATGCAGTATTTATTTATTTTTTTCTGACATCCCTGTAACTGCTATGTAGCTCTTCATTTAAAAACCTTTGCATTCCAAACCAATTATATGCCATACCCTCGACTTCATACAGTGAAGTAGTTGTTTATGTCCATCAAACTTGTACCCTTATTTTATTTTTAGTCAGCTCCATGGGGATCCAGAGCAGTCCTGAGCACAGAGCCCGCCTTGTTTATCAGTTTGTTCCGAGTCTTTGAGTCTGCTGCTGACTCGACAGATGGCTGCAAAGCAGATCGCACTCTCCGCTGCAGATTTGAGGAAGATATGTGACATTTTGCTTCAGAAGAAGCAGGAAAGTCTGTTATATTCTTTTTTTGTTGTTGTTTTTGGATTTCCAACGTAGTCTTCTGCTGCTGTCAAGGTAAACCTCCCACATATCTGTCCCCCTCGACAACCTCCACCTTCTCACCTCGGATAGAGGCGCTGTTTGGCTTATCCTTGGTGACTAGATAGGGGGGTGGGGAGGTTGAAAAGTCACAAAGTGTTTCAGACAAAGAAATAAAAGAAAGGAGGATAGCAGACTGGGCAGGCAAAACCGAATAATACTCTGAAAATGAACTTCCTCACAAAGATTTCAGTAATAAAAACAGACAGAGTTCGAGTTTCATTGCATCTCATCATGATGCATGTCCAGCCAGCAGGTTTTGGCCGCGGCCTCTCATTCAATGCAAATGTTGTTACCGCCATTCCACCGGTTACTGTACTGCTACATTATTTTTTTGCTGAGGCTGGGGCGCCCTGATAACACTCCTCCTCTGCTCTCCCGGTGTTTTTCGGCCATGATATGTGTGCTGCTACGTCAGTCTTTTTTGCTGTTCACCTTTTCCATCCGTGCTTGAGCCATTAGGCTTTTATTTATTTATTACTTTTTTTGGTCTAGCGCGCTCATGCACTGTCACTCTCTGCTATCGGCTGCTTTTTATGGAAGATTTTTAAATCCTTGTCAAAGCACCTAATGCGGGTTCGGGTCTTGTTTATTGTGGATCCGTATTTTAGCACAATGACTCACAGAAAAATTATAGCTGATAAACTGACTTTCAGTAATATACACCTTCAAGATAAAGATAAAAATGTAAAAAGTAGCAGAATGTCAAACATTTCACTGAAGTAAAATCCCTTAAGGGGAAAGAAAAAGACATTAATCCATTAATACAGTTGGGGAAAATCGAGTCACCGAGCAGAACACTTAGAGCAGCAGGGCTATTTATTTCTCTGGAAATTTGCCTTGTACCACCTTGGGATTGACACAAACAAGCCGCTTCACACAAACATTCACACAGATCTCTGGGCATTAAATCCTTTTCAGCGCCTGTCTCCTTGACAGAGTGATCTGCCGCTGACATGTCACAACTGTTGTCAGTGCCAGTAGCGGGTTTAGAGAAAAAAAAAGAGCGGACGGTGTCAACTGCATCTTCAGGGGTCCAAAAGTTTCCACAAAACTTTTGAAGACAAATGTAGGAGACAGGTTGATTTGGGGTTAGAATATGAGGATAATGATAGTGAAGAGTGGTGTACAGGCACCTCAGAATCAATGGGAGTTAAGCCCTAATAAGCACCACGGATATGAAACTTGCAAGCTTGCGTGGGAGACAGTCTGCCAGGTGAATGCCGTCTCATTATAGTTAGCCGCTTAGTTTCCTGGGAACAGGAACAATTTAAATTTGAAGTGATACCCTGAAACTTTAACCTTTGAGTCCATGCGTTGTTGGTTCTAGGCAGAAAGTTCATGCATCTTTTCTCCCAAATCATATTCCAATGTATAGACATGTTAATGTGATTCATGTTGTGATTTTATATGCCTTTCGATACGCTGCCAGCCATATTATACACTAATGATACAGGTAAAGCCCCAACCGATACGATGTGATTCAGCCCTAGTTACTATAGGATACAATGCTTTAATAATTTATCATCAATTTGACTTAACACACAATGTGATTCTTTTCGATACGATTCAAAACACTTCAACACAGTACAAAAAACCTGCAAGCCCAGACCTGGTTCCTAAACTTCGCAATTATTCTTTCCTCTCACTTTGTTTCTGATACAAACAGAAGATTGTTTTATCCCAAATAAAAAGGCAGGAATTCTGATTATTCAGACCTTTACTAAACTCGTTGCGAATCAAAAGCAGTTTAACACCTTGAATTGATCTGTGTCATGCTAGCTGAATGGTTTCCCCGGTCTGTAAACTATCATGCTTCACTAACTACTTACCACTATTCTGTAAAGTGGATATAAGTCACACCATTGGATTTTAATTCGGTTGATTAATTAGATTATGGACTTCACTGCTCCTTGTGGGGGAGTTACATCCCAGAGCGGGGCTAATTTTCATCCCTGCAGGTTCAGACCAGCCTACTCCTTTATTCAGACTTTGTCCCGTCTCATACAACAACACTTGCAGAGGACATGCATAAAAAAGAGGATCCTTTGATTGAAGCAGTTTTTTTGTTATTTTTCTTCTTTGTGCAATCAGCTCCAGGACCAAGTGGGAGCAGCCTTCTTTATTTGCTTTAGTTTGATTCATGCTGCCTCCACAGACAACTGCAAAGCACATCACACTTCCCACCACAGACTTGTAGAACACACGTGACAGCTTGCCACGAACTGGAAGACACATCCTCGTAAAGGAAGAGTTGCTTTGTCCTCTCTTAATGACAGCCTCACTGCAGCACTTCCAGAAGCCTGTCGTCTTGCTCCCCTAAAACTCCTTTTGTCAGTTGAGAAGATTATATCCAACACCAAACCACAACCCACACATTTCATGTGTTGTTTTTTTCATATCATAGGGAGTATTGCTGTTTTTTTGTGTGACCAAGTGATGGCTGTATCTTCAAGCTGTTTTTAAAAAAAATAAGCTTCAGTAAGTTTTGCTTTCCTGGAACAACGACAGAAGTAATATTAGGAAAAAATACTCAAAACTAAATCAGTAAGCTGAAACCTAATTAGAAGGAAATTATCTCATGAAAACACTGGTATATATATATATTCACTTTAGGTCTTATACTGCATCCTATAACTGTTTATGTCACTTATTATCAATTTGACTTTAAATACTCAATCCACTTTCACAAAAAGAAAAATCCACACTGATAAGTATTGTCCTCTATCTGTAATGATAACTGCTCATCTCTAATGGAACTAGATTTAAGATGATCCTCTGGCAAGACTTTGCCTCAATTAAGAATGATTCCCATGTGTTTATTTCTCAGTCTTCACCTTTTTCTGGAGGAAACGTTCAGTAGTTTACAGTAGCTGTTTAAATTCATGATGCATAACCAGGTAAAGTTACAGCACTTCTCAACTCGAAACCAGGCAAAAAAAAGATCAAAGAGGAGAGAGATGGTGAGAGCAGAGCGGGTTTTGATACAGAAAGTGGCTCTTAAAAGCAGGTATTCTGTTAGTTATTCTCTTATCAGAAGGAGAGCTAGAAAAACGGGGCGATAAAAGAGGGCTGAGCAGAAATTGAGGGATGAAAAGATGATGAGCCGATAATGAAAGGATCACGGAAAACAGCTGGAAGGAAAAGAGTGACTGGAATGTATCACAGCGTGAAGAAATGGAGATAACCACTTCAGTGAATTTTTTCAATGTCTCATATTTTTGTAAATGTAAAATATGGCAGACTGATTCATCGAAGCTGCTCTTGGTGTAATGATGCATTTCTGGGAGTTTACAGTTACAGTTGGTGAACCTGCTGCCTTTTGGGCTGCTCCTTCTCATGGTTGTGGGTGAATAATTTCCAACCATGCAAAATAATAATGGATGAACCGCCACTGGCCACTGAGCTATCTGTTCTAAGTATTTGGCAACATTTTCAATGAGAGACATCTTTCTCCACATTAAAGATTTGTTACCCCGTTTAAAGGCCCAAGGTCTCTCTATTGCAACTTTGAATCAAAGATCAGTTTCCTTTTTTTCACTTGAATTCAACTTGATGAAGTGTATAAATCCACCGAGTACAAAACCATTATCATGGAAAGTCTCATGAAAACACTGAAATATACATTAGTATTGTTTTATGTAATCTATTTTATGTCATGCTCTTAGATAAAAGCTGTCAGGATAAAAGATTATTTTGTGAGATAGTAGATAGTGTGATAGTATGTTTTAACTTCACTTCCTTACCCCAACACGTACAACTTCACTCAAAAGAAAAATACTGTTAGTCTCATTAAGCAGATGAAAAAGACATTTTTCATAATTTTTCGTCAGTTCTATCTTTCTCGGCTATAAATCTTGATTAAAATCAGTAACAGTGACTCTTGAGGCAGATTATACACTTTTGTACTTATAGAGACTTAAATGCCGCTTTGTTCTTAACTCAGTTCTTTTTGTATCA